GTATTCACCGGAGTAAAAAACCGGTCGCCGGAATAAATTTGTCACGGACCAAATCCGTGACAAAATTTTGTCACGGATTTTGTCACGGATAAATCCGTGACAAATAATTTTCGTGACAAATCCCAAAATTCCGTGACAAAGCCCGTGACAAATTTGTCACGGCCGGAATCCGTGACAAAAATCCGTGACAAACGGCGTGTTTTTTTGTAGTGCAACATTGTGCCAAAAGCTATTGTAGAGAACATGATACTCTATATTTATATGTTCTAGGAGCAAATAATAGAGGTAAGGAATAGTGTAGAAAAAGTAGGAGAGAAAGTGGAAAAGTAGAAAATAGAAGATAAAAAGTAGAAAAAGTAAAGGTAATTGAGTATTTTTAAAGAAAATACTTACCAAAAAGGGAAAATGTAGCAAGCTTTTAATTACATCCCAAATAGGAAAGCGTAGCAAACATTAAAATACGGAGGGATTACATTTTTTGTAATAATCGGAATACAAATAAAAAATACAGAGTATATAACACTTTAAAAACAGATACATAGTAATTTTTAAAGTGTTAAATTATTTTTTGAATTTATATATTCAATATTGGTGTCACATGAAAAGATAATAAAAAGTTATGAAATTTGGCATCTTTTTTGTAACGATGAGAGTAAAAATGAAAAAGTTACAACACTTCAAAGAAAATAGGAGATTTTTAATTAGAGTGGGACACATCTATTGTTTTATATAGTAAAACTGAGTCATAAATAGCTTATTTGTCACTCTCTCATTGGTTAACAATGAAATAAATAACATCACATTTAACTCACACTTAATATTACGGCTAAAAAAAAGCTAGGAAGCATTAACCATATCCACTTTTTATGCCTAATTAATGGCTAAGAACTTAATTAAAATGTACCGACCAATTGAATAGGAGTGCGTATACTATGCAACGGGTGCATGGTGAGCACCATGCACCATTGGATATTATTTTCTCTTTTTTTTAAAATGGTAATAACTTTTTTATTTTTGATCCGGTTTTTATAAAATTTATATCAACATTTATTATTTTTCATGATCTTTCAAATGAGACCAATATTGCCTATGTAATTTTAACATATTAACATTTGCGTGTAAAATATGTAACTTTACGTGTTAAAATATGTAACTCACGTTCAGTCAGGCCAAATGCAACTCGTGTGTATAAATATGTATCTCTACGTGTAACAATATGTAACTTTACGTAAAAAAATATGTAACTCGCATTCAGACAGGTCAAATGCAACTCGTGTGTATAAATATGTAACTCGCGTGTATAAATATGTAACTTTACGTGTAAATATATGTAAGTCGCGTTCAGGTATGTCAAATGCAACTTGTGTGTATATATATGTAACTCGCTTATAAAAAGATGTAACTTGCTTATAAAAAGATGTAACTCACTTATAAAAAGATGTAACTTGTTTATAAAAAGATGTAACTCGCTCATAAAAAGATGTAACTCAATGTATTATCAAATGTAACTGAGGCAACTGATCCACTCCCAAACAGATTCGATCTTCTATTTCACAAACCTATCATCTCCCAAACAGATTCGATTTTCCTTATAATCCAATACTCATTAATATAATAGTTCGATAATTTCTTAAAATTACATAAGCAATATTGGTCTCATTCGAAAGATCATGAAAAATAAAAAATGTTGATATAAATTTTATAAAAAATCAGATCAAAAATAAAAAAGTTATTATCATTTTTTAACAACAAAAGCAAAAAAAAACAGCATGCTGCGTCGTTTTGCAACCGGGCGCACCATCCTCATGGTGCGCCGGTTGCACGGTATAATTTGCGATTGAATAGGACTCTTCATGGCTTGGCCAGATTAAAAAAATCATTCAATACAAATACTATAATTGTTAACATTACCATTAAAATCATTGTTTAACTCATTAAGTTAATTCCTCCCAATTTACTTTGCAAAAATTATATACCTGCAAACTATGCTAAAATTCCATTGAAACACAAATGCTCACATCTCTAAAGTGATTACAAAATTCTTAACCATCAAAATTTGAGAATAAAATGATTACAAACTGATACTTAACATTAAAGAATAAAATGATATTGTATTAATCAATTAAGAAAAATAAATTGAAAAGATTTTTTGGGATATGAAAAATAGGGTGATATATTAAATTACTTTAGTCCTATAACTTTTGGTGTGTTTGCTACTAAACCCGCTACATTACTCACTTGCATAATTGGACATAGCTGATAAGTTTTTCCACATTAAGGACTTTTTTTTATCGAAATGTAGACTTGGGATAGTAAAAGTGACCACCACTGTCAATTTCTAAATTAAGATACATTTTAATTTGGTGCATGTTTGAAAATAAAGCTAAACTAATTGTTTTACATTTTTAACACGCAAAAAGTAAAAAAGTGTAGTGCACATTCAAAATGAAGTGAATGAAATGATAGATAATAAACAAAGTGCGGAATAAAAAATCAGTGTTAATTTAGAAAAAATTATATATTTTGGCAGACAAAGAGTAAAATGTGTTTTACAAAATCAGATGGATTAACAAAATTAACCTGGTGACAAAAAAATATAGACAATGATTTTAAATTTTGAGCCAAAGCACGTGTTGCGGTCACAATTATGTGGTTGCGTCTGCAACCCAAAAATATGAGGCCGCAATGGATGTGATATAAATTTCGATTCATGGGCAAAATTCACAACAAAACCACAACGTGGTCACAACGAGGCAGCATCAGGCCGCATCAAACCGCAATAGCCGCAACCACGGCAAGCACGATTTTAAAACCTTGATATGGACTAAAGTGTAAAGGTTTGTTTGGTAACACTAAAATTAACTTAATCGGCTTAATCTGCTGAAATTTATGAAATTCTGAATGAAATAGCTAAATTGATTAAATGTAATGAATATGGAAAATTTACATTTAAAATATATTGTATTAATCAAATTAAGAAAAACTACATCAAAAGAATAATTAAAATTGTCCTTTGCATTAACTTCAGTTAATTTAGCAAAAACAAAAAAGAACTTCAACCTTACTTATTCTTATTATTACATAGTTCGGCGCGTGAAGTCAAAAGTTAGAAGTTTTGTGAAACAATTGGCTGATAAGTTGAAAACAGAGGTTTTTAAAAAAGCTCTAAATATATAATACTTCGCATTTATAATTGGCTGTGGATAGTTCATTAGAAAAATCCATTATATTCATATTTGAATTTCATAAGTAATTCGTGGCATGTGTTACATAGTACGTAGTAGTATTTTTTATTTTAACTCATATCAAATAGTCGTGTTGCCGGAGCATGCTCCGGGCTTTACACTAGTTACCATTTATTCTTCACTTTGACAGTATCCTTTCTACTTGCGAGAACTGCTCCGTATTTAATAAAGCCGCCACTGCTCTTGTACGGCGAGTGAAAAATCTCCAATTCAATTTGCGACTTTCCTTAACCATGGTTAATTCAGCAGTATTTTGGAAATTATTTTTAACCCGACAGTATTTTGGGAATTATTTATTTAATTAGCATTATTTCGGGAAAAAACTCTACATAACCAAGGTCGGTCTTTTGGTGGTGGTAGTGTGGCGTCGACAACAATGAGATTCTAGCAAATGTCGAAATTGTAAATGTCACCCCTCAATTGTCGAAATTGTTGTAAATGTGGTCCTTTGAGGGGTGAAATGTACGATGTGGGTGATGCGTACATTTCACCCCTCAAAAGACCACATTTACAACAATTTGGAAAATTGAGGGGTGACATTTACAATCTCAGAAATACGGGTCTGACATTTCAACATGGTGACTATTTCAGGGACTAAAAGTGTGATTTTCCCTCTAGCAAATTAACAACGGCGACCCGTGGAAGAAATTCTGACCACCGACGTTATAATGTTATATAGTTCAGTGGCGATCGGATAATCTAGGGGCAACAAGGTTTGGACCCCATGAGCATACTCCCTCCGTCCCAATTTGATTTGCAAAATTTCATATTTTGGTTGTCACAAAATTATTTTCCACTTTCTATTTTAGGTATATAAATAAGAATAAATTGACAAATTTACCCTTACTTTTACTTTTTCTTCATTAAATTAAAAGCATCTACTTTTAGGAAAATGGAAAAAAGTGTAAAAAGAAAGCATCATTTATTACCATTCCCAAATCCTTGTGCCAATCAAAATTTGCAATTCAATTTGGGACGGAGGAAATATTTTTTTCCAACCTCACATAAAAAACATTTATGGAATTTTAAAGATTAAGTTGTAATAAATGATATTATTTTGGTCTTGATATGCTATTCACACCCCCAAATTGCTATTCACAACCATTAAATTAAATTAAATTAAATTAAATATTACTACCTCCCTCCAAAAAATACTTCTAGATTTAAGGGCCTGTTTGGTAACAGCTGCAACGGCTGTATTGGCTGAAAAGGCTCAAAAGACTTTATATGCTGAAGTGGAAGTGTTTGGTAATATGTTGGCTGAAATGGTTGATCGTGAGTAAAATTACTATAAAGGGTATTAACTTGTTTGTGTTAGATATATGAGTGTAAACTTCACTAGTAAATTAATTTTGCTTGATTAGGTTATTATTAGATTGCTTAATTAACTTATGAGTAAATTAATTTAAAATATACACTTTCATATTTCAATTAAATATTCGGAGTATTAAAAAGCTGACATGTACTTAAATTAAATTAAAATAAAATGAAACAAAATGAAGTATTTAGCATTACTTGTACCTGACCACGAAACTTTTAAACTGGAGCAACAAAACAAGTTTTCAAAACTAATGGAGCGGTACTGTGAGTGAAATGAGTATGTGACTCCAGACATGAATAAAGACGTTTAGTTTAGGTATAGAACGTAAAAGGGTCATTTCGGTTGTCAACAGTACAAAAATACAAAACAGCTGAAAAAGTAAGTAAGTTGTTGTTTTTTTGGCTGATAATAAAAATCAGCCCAAATAGCCAATTGAGCAAGTGTTTGATGATTTTTTTATACATTCAGGCTTATCAGCCCATTTTGGATGCTCCAAACAGCCTCTTAATCGGGGTTGAATTGCTCAATAGTCAATACATAGTATGGACTTTGCCATTCCTGTCTAATACAGCTATGAGCGATCAAAGAGCACACAAAGTTAGGAAGGAATCTGACAGTGGAGATTTACTGCGCAACAGAGGATATCGGCTTCATCAACACTCGCCAGAATCAGCACCGACCTTTTTTACTGCGCAACAGAGGATATCGGCTTCATCAACACTCGCCATGCTTGCCCTCTAAATCTTCATCTTCTCTTTTACTTCTCTATTGCAAACGCCGCCAAAATTGAAAGCAAAATAATACCTGCGAAAATTATTTCGCTCCAAAATCGAAAGCAGAATACTACCTCTTGGGCCAGCGATGTAAGTCAGCGACTGTGTCCCCGGACGGCGCGAGTCCTTCAGGTTAGCACCAGCAGCCTCTCTCGGATAGGACACTTCAATCAGCGGCGAATCCCCACTCTGCTTAACAATCAAATCGAGTCCCTCTTCTCGCCATGTTTGCGACAGGGACGAATCCGTGAAGGTCCCAAATATCCGAAAATATTCTAAGTGTTTGACTAACTTACAACTCAAAGGAATGGAGGAGAATGTATTATATTCCACTTAATAAAACATTACAATTGTTGACCTTATATAGCCATTACAAGTGGAGTAAAATAATCTCTAGGAAATACAATTTACCTTTCCAAAAAGACTTTCATCTCTCCAATAAAAGTAGGGAAAGATAATTTATGTTCCCTAGGAAGTAAACTAATTAAGATTAATTCATTAATCCCAACAAATTCCTCCCCTAATCTTAATTCTCTTCGGTCTCTCATTCCGAGCCTTTTGCTTGTAACTTTTTGCAACAAGCCGAGCTTTGTATCGCTCGACCATACCTTCAGCATTGCATTTCTTCTTATACACCCATTTGACTCCGATCGGCTTATGACCTCTCGGGAGATTGGTAAGTTCCCAGGTCTGATTCTTCTCAATCGCTTTTATTTCTTCGTTCATGGCATCTCTCCATTTTTCATCGTGCTTGGCTTCTTCAAAAGTAATATCCTCCCCATCGGCTAGAAGACATACCATGTGAACCTCTGGAGCTGCTTCATATATGTCATGTATGTTTCTGTACCTTTGCCGGCTTGTCCCTTCTTCTTCTTCCTCGTCCCCCGAGGTCGTCATAGATCCCGCCCCGATTGGTTCTGGTGTCATCCCGAGCGGGATTGGAATTGGGGTCCTGCCCGGGGTCTCTTCGTCATTTGAGGTCCCGTCCGGGACGTCCTCGTTATTTGAGGTCTCGTCCGGGACGTACTCCTTCTCTGTGTTCCAATCCCAGCTTCCTTTTTCATTTATGTCTACATCTCTGCTCACTGTGATCTTTTTCTCCTCGGGATCATATAGTCTGTATCCCTTTGTCTTCTCATCATAGCCAATGAAGACAAGCTTCTTGCTTTTGTCTTCCAATTTCGTCCGTCTCTGATCGGGCACATGTGCGTAAGAGATACTCCCAAACACCCTCAAGTGTGACACGGTCGGCTTTTGACCACTCCATGCTTCTTGAGGTGTTAGATTTTCAAGATTTGAGTGTGGACACCTGTTCTGTACATACACCGCACATCGTACCGCCTCGGCCCAAAATTGCTTTGGCATATTTTTGCTCTTGAGCATGGATCTTACCATGTCCATAATGCTCCGGTTTTTTCGCTCGGCCACCCCGTTCTGTTGAGGTGAGTACGGGGCGGTAAGGAATCTTCTAATTCCTTCCTCTTCACAAAACTTTGTAAAAGAGTCTGAAATGTATTCTCCCCCCCGGTCTGACCTCAACGCTTTCACCTTCAGCCCGATTGTCTTCTCCACCTCGGCTTTGAAATTTTTGAATGTTTTAAAGGCCTCCGATTTTTCTTTTAGAAAATATACCCAAGTCTTCCTGGTGTAGTCATCAATAAAGGTGATAAAGTACCTTCGCCCACTGAAAGATGATGGCGTGACCGGCCCACAAATGTCCGTATGGACTGTCTCCAATGCTCCCTTGGCTCGGTACTTGGCAGTCTTCTGAAAGCTCGTCCGGGTGTGTTTCCCAAGTACGCAGCTTTCACAGAATTGCTTTGGAAAATCCATCTCGGGTAGTCCATGCACCAAGCCCTTTTTGCTCACCACGGCTAATCCTCCAAAGTTCAAATGTCCGAAACGTAGGTGCCATAATAGTGACTTGTCCGTCAGGTCGACTTTCAAGCACTTATGGTTTACGCTTCTCAAGTCCAACTTGTACATTCTGCTCTTGGCCATCTCTACCCGGGCGACGGCCCGGCCTCGTCTATCCTTCAAGTGTAGGTATCGACCACTTAGGTCGGCTGAATACCCTTTCTCCATAAGATGTCCCATGCTTATGATATTTGTCTTCATGCTCGGGACATAGTGTCACGCCCCGGACCGCATCCGAGCCACGTAGACAACCGCCGTACAACCCGATAAGAACAACAACAGTTCATCCCTATTGAGTTGTACAAGGTGTCCGATTGATTCTATTGCCAAACCGATTAGTAAACACATACAATCAACATCAATATCAAAATCAAACAAATGCGGAAATAATAAAATGTTTGGTACTTAGCCACACGTGGCAAACACGGGCACGCAGGCCCCAACTGTTTTAATGAAAACATTGTTCAAAAATCCATGAGCGGTTTATACATTTGAAATAAGAATGGAAGCACGAACCACGTCTTCCTTCTCGATCAATCACCCTAGGCAAAGGTGCAGGTAGTAGGACTCTAGCCTCAACCTGAAAAATGTGAGGGCCCCCGGAGGGGTCAGTACTCCATAGAAGTACTAGTGACAAGCAGGCTATATGAAGAATAACTAATGTTTCAGACACGAGACCCAAAAATAGGGTGATACATATATATATGTGACTCATTCATCCGATGATACATACTGTATATACATATATGTAAAATACTCGACCCGTAGGTCATTTCATTCAAAGAGTCTTTTAGAGATAAAGTTCTTACTTGACCTTTCTCACCCTTTTCCCGAATGCCTAGCTCACCAGCTACATTCTACATTCATAATATCCTACCGAGTTTTGGGAGCACTTAGCATCCCGGGGATACTCAACCCCAACCGAGTTTCAGGATCATTAAATGTTCCGGGGATGCTCAACCCCAACCGAGTTTCAGGATCATTTGCAGTCCCGGGGATGCTCAACCCCAACCGAGTTTCAGGATCATGTATGGTCCCGGGGATGCTCAACCCCAACCGAGTTTCAGAATCATTTAATGTCCCGGGGATGCTCAACCCCAACCAAGTTTCAGGATCATTTATAGTCCCGGGGATGCTCAACCCCAACCGAGTTTCAGGATCATCTAATGTCCCGGGGATACTCAACCCCAAACTAAATCCTCACCAAACCCTAACCTGGATATGGCTAACCTTTCGTTCCTTCAACTATGGACAATACCTAGCCCTATAGTCATATAACCATCCTTAGGAACCAATGTGGGCGGGTCCCACCTGAACGGCCCACATTAACCCGCTCAAAACTGCCCGTTTTGAGCATAAACCAATACTCGATCGAGTATCTTCCCATACTCGGTCGAGTACAGGAGGCGGTAGCCCCCAAAGCTAATTTTCCATGTATACTCGATCGAGTATATACCTATACTCGATCGGGTATAGGAGACAGTAGCCCCCTGGGCAATTTTTCAGCAAATACCCGGTCGGGTATGTGTCAATACCCGGTCGGGTATGGCAGTTGACTTAGCGGTCAACGCCCTTTTTGACCCCCCAAACGGAATCCGATTAACTTGAAATTTTATACACATATACTTCTTGATGTCCTTGATCCAAAAATACCATTTTGGATCCCTGGATCATCACACAAAATATGTTACCACATTTTTAATCACCAAACGTACATAACATGCTTTTCAACTATGTTTTATGCAAAATCATGGCATAAGCAAATACTTGATTATCTTTAATCATTCCACAAAACATATCCTTGATTACTTTAGGTAATCTCATGCCTCACGCAAAAGTTATAAAGCATAAAGCCGTCATCTCACCTTAATGAAGCTTATGAAGTTCTAGCCTTCCCGATTTAGCTCCCGTGAAACTCCGGCGAACTTCAACGAACTCCGGCGACAACTCCGGCGACTCTTTCAACTCCGTGAAAGTTCCTTGAATACCTTAGACAAGTTACTAACAAGGTTTTATCATCATAAAACCCATAGTAGTACAAATAACCCCCAAAAGGTTATTTTCCGGCGAACCGGTCCCTTTGGCTTCTAAGTCCATTCTTGGGCTTAGAACCACCTTCCAACCCCTCGTTCTACACATCCCAACGTGTAGAACAATACTAGGGTGTGAAATATGATTGAATAATCATATAAGATGATTAAAGAAAACGAAATGGGGTTAATGGAGTCCTTACCTTGCTAAACACAAGTTTTCCTCTCCAAAACCAACTTTTCCTCTTCTCTTTTCTCCTCCTTCTTCCTCCTTTGTTCTTGGTGCGTGAAAGGATGAGGAAATGGAGTATTTCAGACCTTCTCTCACTTCTTTGAGTAGGTTAACCGAGCTGTAGGAGTTGGTATGATTGAGGATGCCTTTTTGGCATTTCTCATAAAAATATCTTGGCCAAGGACCCACTCTCATGTTGATTGGTCTCCCAATCAATTCTTGATTGCTCCCCCCTGATCTTGTGCGGCTCCTCTGGCCATTCCCAGAACTAAAAACGTGGGTTGGCCCCCACTTATGTGGGAGGTCAACCCTTTGTGTCCCGGAGTGTACAATCGGTCCCGAAAGTTGTATTTTCCGGACCGTTTTAAGTATATTTCATTTTATCGGGTCAAATAAAATATAACATTTGTTCCCAATCCTTATTGGGCCTTAGAATCAATATGATTCCCCAACTTTAATTTAGAAATCTCCGGACTCCCTTTTTGGGCTGTTATCAGATAAATTGCCGATACCGATAATTTGGCCCCGTTTGACCAACCGGTCAACTCTATGCCATTGCCATGGCCCAATTAGGATATTCATCACCATATCAATATTATCTAGTCCAAGATTAATATAATATGTGGGTCCCACGTGAATTTTACTATTCACGTAATAGAAATGATAAAAATTTACAATCACGTAAAAATGCTTTTATACATTTCTCGAGGTTCAATACATAATTTGGTACAGTACAAATACTCGGGGGCAGTGTTACAAGTTCTACCCCCCTTATTTGGGATTTCGTCCCCGAAATCCACGCGTCTAGTCAAACAGAAATGGATATTGTTCCCTCATTAGGGTCTCCACTTCCCAAGTTTGCTCCTCGACACGATCACTCTTCCAAAGTACTTTTACCATCGGCACCTCTTTGCTCCTCAGCTTCTTTACCTGTCGGTCCATGATTTTCACTGGTTGCACCGTATAGTGCAGGTCTTCTCGGATTTCCACCGGTGGTTTCTCAAGAATATGTGACGGGTCCCGCACATACTTCTTGAGCATAGAAACATGAAATACATTATGAATCTTTTCTAACTCCGGAG